TATAAAAAAGCATGAAAATGGAATGCCAATAGAAATGGATTGCCTTTACAATAAATAGTTAATGTATTTTCTAAATGAATGATTTAAAATAGCTATTAAAGTAAAGAGAACGAGCTTATGTTTCTAGTAATGACTTCTCTGCCTCAGAATGAAATCTGTAAATCCCTGATTGCAATTTCGCTTCCCAAAAGAACAAGCAGTCCTGGGACTGATGCTTACCGCTTTTATTGTTAATACGAGYATACCACATATGTGATTTTTATATCACTGATTTGAATATTTAGATTTATACTTGTGTACGCTTTTTATTTTAAATCTCATACTGTTATTCTCTGTCGCACAAAAATAAAGCTCTTCTTCAGCAAGGTATTTTTTGTATGTACACGCACACATGTATACACAGACATTCAATATAAGTACAATTTTATTCATAAGAGCGCATAATGATTCAGGCTGTGATTGTTAATAAAAATGCATTTCTAACCATCAAATTTGAGTCTATTATTCTAAGTTAATTGCATTTGCCCTAAAGAGACTTGCGACTGGCTGTCAGCCTATTTGTGTCAGTTCCATTTTATTCATCAGTCAATCTTGTCTCCTCTTTTTTTGCATCCCATATATTGATCAAATAGATTTGTTAGCATGCCTCTGCTGCTTTTAAAAAGTTTTTGTTATTTGTCAGGTTTATTTGATTACTATATTAGTTTGTGTGTTATCTTAATTGTTATTTCAATAGAAAATAAATGCCCTTTGATAGTCCCACAAGATTCCCATTWAGTATAATCCATATAACAAGTTATTGGATGGAGTGAGTGTGGTAAGAAAATAAACACATTAAATCTATTTTAAAAGGTGGTGTTAATATGCATCTATATCATGCTTAATCCAAGAGACAGGAATAGAAATATGGACAGTGTGAAAAGCAATTTTGATAAACATCAGTGCCATATCATTGCATATTACACTTTGTATAAAATACTTCAACCAAAAGGCATATTATATAAAATAAACTGAGGTCACATCTGGGAGAGTGGGTTTTGTGGTTAAGTGGGAAACAGAAGGAGATTATATATGACTTTAGACACTAGAAATGAGGATAAGGAGGCTGCAAAAAACACACGTGGAAGCACAATGTTACAGGAGGCTGATAAGGGAGAGAAAAAAGACCCTTTTGCAAAAATTATTAGCACAAAGTATAATGTGAAATTAATAAAATTTTCATTTCTTTAAAATAAAATGTATTAAGCTTTTGTTATTTCTTTCCCTGCTTTGGTCAGGCTTAGTCTCCATATAATCCAACTTCAGTCATATAATAGTTGGATTTCTAGATTGCAATAATTGTCCGTACTTTGTTGCAGCCAATGGGGGAGAAAGCAAGAAAACTTACCGAGAAYAACTGAGTCTTGACTTAAACACTAGTAATTGAGATGGGACAAAYGGCCAGCAAGACAAACCAGTTTCTTACACTGATTAAAACAGGACTTCAGCCCGATTGAACACCTAACGTTTAGATACATACAGTCAGTATGGTGAATGCCTCTCTAAGGGGACTCTGTCTCACAGCAAAATCATTTTTAAATGCTTCTGCATAGCCAGGGAAATGTTCAACTCAAAAACAAAACAAAAAGAAACAAACAAAAAACTGCAGTTCTTTCTACCTGGAAGCCCTTTAGCAACATTTCACACTAAGTAACTAAACTTGGGCACAGCTTTGTTGTTGCAGCAGAGCAGTTAGCAACACTTCTGTGATTCAGACGCACGTGGAGCAATGATAGCGCACTATTTCAAGCCAAATTGTTATGACCAGCTAGTATGGAATATAAACAGGAACAGATGAGAAGAATACAGCCTCAACATTTGATACAACAAAGAAAGAGTGAAATGATTGCTACATAAAAAACATTTCAAAGACCTCCCAGAAAAAGCAGGCATAAAAATCCCCAATAAAAAGGCTCAGCAAGAAAACTGTCACACCCCCTAATCCTCAGCAGACTTTAACAAGATGTTCACATGAGCCAGGGATTGTCTCCTTCCCCAGAAGACAAAAGGCACGGAAAACAATACTGTCTAGCACAAGATTAGGAGGCAAGAGATAGATAAAAAGGATTCCTTAACCTTACAATTAAAACCCCAACTCTCCAGCCAAATGGATAATCAGAAACAGACTGAAAACCTGTATCACAATAATTGCGGCATCTTTCTTTACTCTTTGAAAATTGATATATTCTCCTGAATATTTTTTTTAGCTTATTGCKGCTCCACGAAAGGTTTTGATGGCCAGTTGACTACAAGAAAACACCTGTTACGAAATCACAGTTCAGCACACGTGGCAATAATCTTTCATTTCCTATCTCTATTTTTGCTTCACCTCCAACAGAGCAAAAATTAGATTACCAATACTGACACCAACTTTTGAAATAGGCAATTCCAGTAAACATACAACTAAGAGCAAGAGCGCACTATTACACAGGTCTTCTGACAAGTGATTCACTAACAAGACCCAAAACATACATGCACAGGTCTTTCATGTAAAATATAGCATTAAAAAAAAAAGTTAAAATGCAAACAATTTAGTTTTTAAAAGGGGCTATTTAGTATTGTTAATCCCCTTAAACAAGGGAAGGGCAGTGGCAAGCGCAGAGAACAGAGTTGGCAGGAAAGGAAAACTATAGGCTGGAAAGAAACTTGGGATTCTGCAAAGTTTGATCCTGCTGTTGTAGTTAGCTAGTGATCATAAACTGTAACAGCTATAGAAGTTAAACTGCATACAACCTAAGATGCTTTCTTGAGTTGAACAGGGCAACCACAAAAAACATTGACAACTGTATTTACAGGGTGCATATTAACTTAGAGATATGACTTCAGTTTTAAGACCATATATGATTAGGAAATGTACCTGTTCCCACTCTACAGGGGTGGAATTAGCAGTAAGTCTAGGCATTTAGTGAGGAACAGCCAGGGTTTCCAAAGTTATCTCAGATGGCCTTGCTGGCCTTTCTTAGTCTTATTGGTGCCATCTCAGAGGTTTTGCCTACAAGATGCTCAGAAAGTTTCTCTAAGCTCTGGTGATCCTACTGTCCTTATGTTTCTACCTCAGAGCAGCTTCATATTCCATGAGAAGTGAAATGGTCCCCCTTTAAATAAACTCCTTGAAACCACTTAGAAGGCTGGCAGAGATACAACCTTAATCATTGTCATTTGCTATTGAAAGACAGAAACAAATCACATTTTCTGAAGAACTGGGCCTTGAAATAAAAACATGGAAAAACATGTAGGTTACCATTTTCTTTTTTAGTACAGCTAGAAGAAAGACTGCACTTACTAGTGGAATGAAAAGGAGAATAAAAATCCTCTACAAAGTGAAAGCAGAGCTTGGTCCAGACAAGAGCAGATAACTACCATACACCCTCAAAGGAAGCAGCTAACAGTGCACAAGGCAGAGCAGTAGAGGATATGAGTAGCTGTAGGGTATGAGTAGAGGGTATGAGGGTAGAATGGTTTCTACCTTAGCCTAAGCAAATTAGCCTCTTCTAAACCAAGTAGTGCACAAGACCAGGTCCAGGACCTGCTTGTGGTGGGGTGTTGTCAAAGAGACCCACAACGTCTTGGCCTACAAGCACACTTATCCCTGTGTCATCAGGAACCTTTCTGATGAAAGCTCGTTTGTGTTTTAAACAAGYAACAGTCTGGAAATAGGGCTGTGGCACCCTGTCTATTGCCTCAAAATCATTTACAGCTCAAATTGCCTCCTTTTACAGTCAAGCGAGCTTCTGGTTACCGCTATTACAAACACAATTTGAGATTTACATGGTGAGCTAGTATTTTTCCCCAGTTCCCACATTCAGATCCGATACAGATTTACTGGAGACTTTGAACCTTTCTATCAACCTTCACCACATCCTATGGCACAGCAGTGCCACCAAGTATATAATTCCTCATTTAGAGCATATCTATGTTTTTCCCATCAGGCAGAAGGGAACACATAATGCCATAGACACCATTATTATTGATTGAGAGATATGTATATGCCATGGCAATGAAAAGCAGTAAAAAACTCGAATATAGCTAAAAAACTAAAAAAAACAGTTCCACCCTGAAACTAAAAAAATTAAGATGGATGAGCTAAACTTGGACCCATCTTATTATGCCTAAATTATGATTTAGAAACCTACACTGCATATATTACAGTGGTTATGTTAAATTCACTCTGCTAGCTTCAAATACTGAGGCCCTAACATTGTGATATTTACCACTGGTAGGAACATGGATGTGATAAAATATACAGTGATGATGTAAGTATTCAGGTTCATTATTACCATTTTCCTCAGTCCAAATTACTCAAATTAAGATTTTTGCCCAATATAGATTTTCACAATTTGGCATAAGAGACAGATATAAAACCTGGACTAGTACACCTTGAAGCCAAGCATTCTCTCAGCTTTAACAAGCATWAAGTTTGTATCTTATCAAACAAGGCAATACCATTTCACTGACCAGGCGTGCAAAGACAACTCAGACTTGAGCCACAAAACAAACAAATAAACAARAYAAACAAGATAAACAAACAAAAATCCATAAAYTTAAGCTTTACTCACCAAAATCTCATAGATGAATGCTGTATTAGTGAGCCAGGATCTCGAGGGCTCTATCTCCATTCTTCTGGTTAAGACAGGTTATCGTCAACATATGGAAACCAGCTGTGTCCTTTGGGAAAGAAAAAGGTCTCAGTAAGAGGCCTAAGGATGCCAGATCTTTAAGTGAAGAGGTATCTCCTAGCAATAGCACTTTTCCCCCTCCATGCTGTTAAGTCAATTAAATGACTAAACCCCTGAGGTCCCTCAGCAGCTCAACCTTTCTCTTTCCTGTGATAACATTACAGATTTGAGCAGAGCCATTAGTTTTAAAAATGCGAACACTTACAGAGGGCAGCAAAACCCGTCTGATCAGCTGAGGAGTATTTCCCACTTAGTGAAGCCTTTCTCTCTAATTTTGTTTTCCAGAACTGGACAGCCCCATTCTACAACCCCTTGAAGACTCTGGTAAGTTCTCCCACCTTTCTGAGTTCCATGTATTTATAATGACTGAAGTAATCCCTTGTCATTCAAATAAAGGAGCTGAATCTTTATGGGTTTATGGAGCCAACCTAAGAGGTGTCTCAGATGTCTGCAGTGGATAACTCGGTCCTCCCCCACCAAAGTCACAAGTGGGGCTCATTAGAGGCTGAGCACAACAGACTAGGCAGCAGCTCCAGGTTGGCTCTTCCAGCATCCATAAGCTGATTGCRTTACGGACCACCTCATTTGAAAAAAATACTAGGAAATGAAGTGCGGAACACCTTGTTCTTGTAAGCTCGAAGACTGTGCACAGCAGTTCTACTCTGCACTTATATGTATGGCAGACACATGATGCAAACTCTTTGATTGGAAGCTAGTTAGAGGACACTGCTGGGGGTTACGTAGGCAAGGTCATGACAATGTTAGTCTGCTCTTAGAGACCATGAAGAGGTAAATCATTCTGTGCAACCCAGAAGTCATTCAGATGGTACTTTTGGCATCCCCCCCCGCCCTCTTTTGTTCTGTCAGTCTGAAGAGAACAGCTCGTGTGATGTAATTTAGAACAGAGCTTTTTTAAAGCTTTCACTCAGGAAAAGCTTCTGGAGCTCTGGGGGTATAGCTTAGCTCCGAGAAACAGAAAGAAAGCAAGTTTGCATTGACAGCTTGATCCCAGAGAGAGGTGGCTGCCTGCTTGTCTAACAGGTCCTCTGGGTCTGGATGAGGCAGAGACAGAGGAGCAGTCATATTAAGTGAACGTGCGCTGCCAATGTTAAAGGAACAATTACCATTATTCTGCATAGTTCACTGTTTGCTACTGCTATTTCCTTCAATAAAACCTCTTTTCACTTGCCAATTGGAGCTTGTCATGTAACAATATTTCTTATGCACAATACACATACTAAAATGCCCTTGTGTTTTTAATACATTTATAGTTGTTAACAATAGCGGTATAGTGACAGAAAAAAAAAAAAAGTACTTGCTTTGAATACAGAATAGACTGAAAAAAAAGAATAAACCAGAGTCCTTACTCTGAAGGATTAATGGGGGTTAAATTTTGCCTAATCTCAGCACTAAAACAGTGACACTTCTTCCATTCAATTTTCATATGTTTTTCCCTCTCAGGGTCTGCCTGTGACCTCCTTGCTTTGCAGGGTTATTCACTTGAGTCTTGAGCACAAGTCTCAGTGAAACTTCTCTCATGTGGAAGCACTGCATGGCACTGCGGAGAGGAATGACTCCTCTGCTGGGCTGTGTCCTAGGTCCCAAATGTCCCTGCACCTTCAGATCACCTCATCAGAGCTGGTGGGACATGGGAACCCCAACAGGGACAAATCCAGTCTTTGATCCCTTCCTGTGTCCATGAACATGCCAGTCTGCCATCCAACAAAACTCGAAATCTYTGCTTTTCCATCCTAAGTCTGCTTTTCACTGCTTGCATCGGATACTAATTTTGCCATAAGCCTTGAGCAAAATTCTCTGTGAGTGCAAWTCCTTGGAAAACAAATGGTCAGTGATTTGGAAGGGTTAGATATTTCGATGAGATTTGAGGAATTCTGGCATACTCCTTTGAAAGCCCACAGAATGAATAAATTGTGCTAATACTGCCCTTGCCAATGCTACTACAAAACTGGTGAGGGTGTCATGGTGAAAATAAATTACCTTTTTGCACTTGTGACCAAGATGAATCAAATATTTCATGCATCCAAATGAACAAGCACCCATTTGGCAACCCTTGTACCATAGTTACAAAGGAAACTCTCTTCGTCCTTAAAGRCTCATATTTTCTTAGAAAAGTGTTTTGCTCCATATAGCTGAATATTCACAGATAACAACACCTTGAATCTCTCACACTGCTCAGAAACAGTGATAGATTACAGATTTAAACACACCCTTCTACTGCACAGTTAGAAAAGCACATTTAAATCCTAGGAGCAAAAGTTTTACCCTGTTTTCCTTAGAGCAGACAAGAGTGCCCTGTCTTAAAAGTATCTTTCATGCAATTAAAAAATAGAGAGTGCGTTCTGCATTCCCCCAAAATAGATATTCTGCAGCTTGGGAGTTGCCTACAAAAATACATTTTGAGAAAAGATAGAACAGGATGCATCCTTTTCTGCTTCAGAAATTGCTAAATATTTTGCCTRCAAAATACTCCTTCCTCGCTTTAGGAGCAAGGCAATCTCTGCCTGCAGAAGCCAACTGTGTCCAAAGTTGTTCTGGAGTCTGATCTATGGAGCTTCATGGGAGTCTTCCCATTGACATCTGCTGATCCTGGATCAGGCCCTGGCAGAATTAAACAAAAGTTTCTCCAACACAACCCGAYGAAGGTTGCTCAGCAGCACCCAGTGAGGTGGTCAGATGGCAGGAAGATTAATAGCATTTGCATTAGGAGACATGTCCAGCTCCCAGGTGTGTTTAAGTACCATGTGCAGTGAGAAATAGGAAAATCGGTAAAAGACAAAACACTCACAGATTGCCATGCTTCATCAGCTTCAAACCAGAGAAAAGCTTGTATAATTTATTAGAAGGCCTGTTTTTTGTTTTTTTTAGTTATATATAATCATATACCGATTTACTATGAGCAGAGCTTTAAGCACTGTCCATGAGAAAGGCTGAATCTTCRGTGATTTGCAGCTCTATTTGACAGCATTTAAATTGTTTGGATACATTTTAAGAAGACATGCTGTTTTGATGGTGTTTCCCCATCACCAAATCATGCTGACAGCCTCTAAGTTCCTCTGCCATTAGTGCCATGCAAGGATGTCTTTGTGACCACCACCATGCATAATATCTGCTTTGGGAATAAACTCTAAAGCATCTAACTCCAGTGTCATTCAAAAAGAGGTATTGTTGCCAAAGACCATGGTACAATAAAGGAAGATGCTGCTCTCTCTTTTCATTGAAAAGTTCACAAATCATGCCTCGAAATCCTTCAGATGTCTGCTATTTTTGCTAGATACTATTCAACAACAATTAAAACTATGATTTTAAATTTTAAGTACTTCTCAGATTTAATGACATGGAATTTTAGGTAAAAAAATCCCTTATAATAAACTCAACATTTTATTTTTATGTTATCTATAAATTTCCCTAACTAAACATAGTGAGTTATTACACAAGTATGTCCATAGGGTGGACTTACCTTTAGTTACAGTGCCAAAATGCTAAATAAAGTACTGTCCACTTCTGGCTCTTCCATTTTGGTTAGGATTTTGCCTTTCAAGCTTGATCGTATTGGCAGACAGTCTTAACCTCACTGATGGGGTGAATAATTAACCCTGAGAAGAAGGAAGGAAGATGAATTAATGCAGCTGTGCTGCCAAGGCAAGAATTATAATAATAATAAGGTCTGGATTTTCTTCAGTTTAAAAACAACATGATCAATTCGGGGAAGATAATGCACCAAAATCTCCAGCTTCACACTCGGCAGTGAGGAAGAAAGAGAATTTTATAGTTTCATGTTATCACTGAAATATAATAAGTAGCTACCAGTGAGTGCTGAGATACATTTTTCCCTACCCTACCTGGGTATAAACAGGAGTATAAATCACCTACCCTGTACGGATAAGCACCTACAAGATCCAAAATTTCAGCATGGGGCTTAATTTCAGCCTCATAAATAGCCATTCCTTTTAGGAAAATCCAAAAGAGGATGGTAGCTCTCAAAAACTACTGGAGTTACAGCAGAGTGCCAGGATGTCCTGATTGAAAACAGGAGGGAACGAATTCAAAACAGGCCAAAACCATTTCCTACAAGCAAGCAGATCATGAAATGCCACAAGAGCCTGCTGCCCACTGGATTATCGGTACATGATTTATTTCATGGAGTGTATGTGCCTGTATTTCAGATACTTATAACACACCCAACTGATTAAACAGAGACCTAAAGAGAAGCTCGGTAGAAAACAAAAGGGGATCTGAGGCAGAAGTTGGAAGATTGGATCTAGAAACCACTTCTGAGGCTGAGAAACAGCTCCTCTGTGAGGGCTACATCATTGTAKAGGTGTGTAGAGAAGTCATGGTCCAGCTTTGCAGGATCCTGCTAATGCTGTAGATCCTGCATCTGATCTGTAAAAGCAGGTACCCAGTCTACCAGGTTAAAAACAAGCTGCTACTGTGAAGTTCCTGAGAAAATCCAGTGATTTAGCTCAGCATGCATCGGCCAAGGGCTCACAGGAACCTGGCACTGAGCAACTGAAAGARCGGGTCTCCGTGCAGGCACCTGCAAAGCATCCAGCAAGTGCTCTGCAAAAGCAACAATGAGGTTTGCTATTGTGTTTGCTGGCAAATATGAATTATGTCTGGTCTCTAATGCAGATAATGATTTCTGAAACAATAGAGACTTGTGAATTAACACATAAAAAGCTTTTCCATAAAATATTTGGTCCCTCTTATTTCAAAGTCCTTTATAACTCTAAGGTGTAAGCATACAACATAAAATTTGCACTGTTTGCTCCAAATTTTATTTTAAGCATCTTTAAATTTTAAGCATCTTTTTTTTTCTTGGTTGTACATTTCTTACTCTTTATAGTTAAAAGTAATTTTAAAGCAAAAAAAGAATATAAACAATATACACTGACTCTTGACACTCCATTGCTTTTTTAAACTAGAATAATAAAAATTTGCAAATGAACAAAAGAGTGGGAGGAAGATATCTGATTTACAATGTTTTTGAGATAAAGAACACTATAAAAAAAGATCAATGTGAATAATAAAGCATTGTTAACTGAGTCATGACATTTCTATTCTCAGTGAAGATTTGAACAGTAGAGCTCTGCAAATGAGCACCTTGTGCCACTTTCAAAGTGGGAGGAAGACATATAATTATAATTTTTAAAGTGAAGAGAATTTTAAAAAAAAACTCTGTGAAAAAGTTTATTGAAAAACATATCGACATATCAATATGACATAAATTACTTTAATTTTATTAAACTAGGAGGGGGGGGAACCTCTTTTTGAAGACCAGCTGCAGAAAGCATTCCTTGAAAAGAATTTTCTTTATTAAAAACTCTTCTGCTAAGATGAAACAGCACTGAATGTCAGCACTACCGTATATTTATTCTGTAACTCTTCCAACAGCTGAGATCTATAAAAGAAACATATTTTCAAAACAGTTTTAACCTCCATTGTCTTGATCATTCATATTAACATTTTTCGTGTCACCTACTGAAATCCCTTAAAGGAATCTTTTTTTTTTCAGTCAAAACTAATGAAGCCATTTTCTTAAACAGTCTCCAAAAAGTAAAAAGGATGTAATATTGTGCATTTTATTTGACATACATTTTCTGCCATCTTACTTGTTTGTTTGATGGGAGCAAAACTTGATATTTCTGTTCTCAAATGGCAGAGAAAGGTGACTTGGGGAGAGGAAAGCTAACTCTGCCTCTGCTGTGTGTGCAATTTAAATTCACAGTGAAAATACAGCATTGATCAGGTTACTCTGGTTGAGCCATTTGGTGCTTTGGCATTCCTCAAGTTAGGTCCCAGCTGTGAAATCACAGTTTGGGCCAAACTCTGCTATTAGGTGAGTGCACATGGCTCCCATTTTCTTCAAAGGGAAGGACACACATGGCCAATATTTAACTTTCACCTTTTCCATTCTATAGCTAGCAAAGCCAGAATCAATGCACTACATTTAGACAATTTAATAGAATTAAGAATATAGTCAAGATTTTCTGAGATTTACTTGTGAGCTGGGCTATATAATTCAATGCATCTCACAGTGCAAACACTCAGCATATTCGGAAAATCAGACCATCTCAAATGACTTGTTTTAAGCAGGTAAAATCATAAATCCCTTGAGTAGCTAACTCAAACCACAAACAGGGGGCAGGAGATCTCTTCAAGATCGTGAGCTCCAGCTGGGTTGGGATGTTTGGAAGTCTCACCATGTCCAGCTGATTTTGGGTACCGGCTTTGCAGACATTTCCCTCTTGGATCACGAAAGGAGAAAGGATGTGTCCCAAAGCAAAATCCAGCTGACCCCTGGCATATGCAGATTTCCTTAAAGGTCATGTGGAAAACTCTCTTACCATCCTTGCTCACTCTCCCCTTCGATTTCCTCCGAACCCATCTGTTCCTCGCCCAGCATCTTCATTCCCCGCTTGCCTCCCTCTTCTTCCTGTGTCCATCTGTTCCCATCTTCCTGAATCCGAGCTGGTGGAGAGAAGGAAATTCAGTCATTCACTGAACAGATTTTGAGATGAACCCCCTCCCTTTCCAGCTCTGACTTCATTCATCACGGTAAAAATTATAATGAATAGAAATGTTGAAGGTGAAAATTTATTAGGGATTGTGTTTCTTTCTTGTATCAAAAGCAGCTAAAGCTGCACATAAACATTGGCTCCATTCATTTTTTTTTCTTTTTTTAATATATGGTATAATTAGCAAGAAATATTAGTGGAAATGCTTGGTAGGCAGTCCATCAAAACATGCCTGTCAGAGCTTAGGATCCAGGCCAAAATATTTTTTGCCAGTCCTGCGATGGATTTACAGCGAGCCTATAGCAGGCTTTGCAGTCAGCTAGGCATCCAAATCATGAAGTTAAAATGGGTCCAAAACAGGGTCCAAAATTCACATGGGACAGAGTTCTGCCAGCAAGGAGGTCACCATTGGCTTAGTCAATGAAACAGAATAAAAAAAACATCTTCTTCCTGCCACCCCGGGGCCGAATTGGACCAGACACCCCGCTCTTTTCAGCAAGGAGAGATCCATGATTTCAAGAACCAGGACATCACCTGCTGTTCCAAGACACTGTTTAACACTGGTGCATCATGGCCCCATCTGCAATTCTAATCCAGAAACACTTGAAACTCCAGTAATATCAGGACACCTATTTTTCACCTCTTCATTCACTGCAGTGGACAATTTCTACAGGTTAAAAAATAATCCCTTATATTTGTGACCATRCAGAACTTTGTCTCTTAGAAGACAGCTGTGAAGTTTCACCTCCTGCCCATTTCTATTTGTAATTTAATTTTTCCACACTTTGCATTTAAAAGTAATCATAAATAGTATCTGTTGTACATGATATATTTTTAAAGCCTCCTCAGCTCCACTTATTTGTTCCGATCTCTAAAACTATTACTGTTCCTGCAACAAACTGTAAAAGGAGGAGGAAAAAAAAAAAAGCTAACTGCTTTTTTTTTTATGCTGGTCTAGCATAATCTTTATTTCCTTAGACACTTTGTACAAACATTAATTTGATAAAAGACATAATGGAGATGGACCCACAGCTGAACTAAAGGTAATTGCATAAAAATGAAATGAAGACCTATAATTGTACACTGCTTTAGCCTCTATCGCACTGTTTTCTGGAAGCAAGGATCTCGCTTGTCATAGCAAGTTGCTTGTTACGGTGACTGCATGAAGTCTTGATCTAGCTGTGCAAGACAAGTATAACATTACTTAAAGGGAGCTTTTCAAACTAAGAGTCTGACACTAAAATGCACTGTATTTTCAAAGATGTAGTACGCTTTAACAAACAGAAGAGTCCCTGAGTGACAGCTTTTGTTACCCTTTTGTTTGATGGTGCTGTATTGAAAAATTCAGGTTATGTCTGTGCCTTTCTATTTCTGGTTTTGATTTCTCTTCAACAGTACTTCAAGAATAAAATTTGACTTTCAGCATGAATAGTAGAAGTCAGTGGATACAGTAAATGTTAGTCTGGCATTTACTGATTACTTGCRTCTGATTTTTTTCACTCTATTTTGTTAAATGCTTAAATGGATTCTGTGGGCCACTGTATTGTTTCAAAAAGGAGGAACTCAAGAGGTATATTGCAATTTAAACTAAATGCCGTGAACTATATACTATAGGATATAGTATACTATATAGCAGTATATATGGTATATATTGCTATAAACTATAACTCAATGAACAAGATCCTTTTGCAAGACTGGCACCCAAATAATGGGTGGGGTTTATGTCTTCTGGACCTGCAAATCAATGATTATCCAATAAAACCAATGCATGAGGAGGCCATGGCTTCCTCCAGGACTCTGCTACTTCAATTAGTAAGCCTTTCCTGGAGATGGTGTATTATTGAATGAAAGGGCAGGGGAAATTGTGATATATCATTGATCTATAAACACTGCAAAACTGCATTTATGGTGCCTGTAAGTACAGCCAAAGTGTGTCAATTTCCATATTTTGGACTCAAGAGGATGGCCAAGGAGTCAGAGAGGCAAGAAACCTATATTTACCTGCTTTGAGAGGAAAAAAATATCAACAAACGGTAATATAAAATTCATAAATGAGCAAAATCTCAGACCTGCCTTGCCCAGGATGCTTGTTTCTGTAATCAGTTGTGCAAAGTACAAGGAAGCACCACTGTGCTTTGTGTAGTGCTGCCTCAACCCACAGCAGTCACCCAAGACCATCTTAAGCTCCCCCCTACTCACTGTATAATTCCTTCATCATAATGCCTGCAAAATATGATGATTTTAGGTTTACAGGACTGATCTCTGTGCCAGCAGTACTTGTTTTCTTCCTTCCACTTCTACCTACCCYACCATTTGCTTCCTGCCTAAGGCTAACCCCTAAACTCTCCGGGACAGGGACAACCCACGCTTCCTTCCTAGAGGACCTTCTCATTGTTTTAAGTTCAAAACCAAACCAAAAATTCTTAAAGCAATGATTTAAGGCTAAGAAAAATAATCACTCCTCCTCTTGGCCCTTTTTTAGAATACAGAAAGTACCAAAGGTATGTGCAAAGCAAGGGATACACAGATGTTTCTTCTTATTCCTTGCAGGAGAAAACAGACTATCTGCTTTTGTGCACTTACTGCTCCTCTCAAAAAGTAATGTTTACAAAATTGAGGTGTTTGTAATGATTGATTTTCTGTATATAGCTTAAGAACAAGCATATCACAAGATTTAGGTAAGATAAAGGGTGAGGCTGTGCTTGATGTAAGGTGTTGGAGTTATTTAGCTATAGGTAAGAACTGATGAGGTTTTATCTTCCCAGCAGTAGAGAGAAGTTTCTTGGCCTCTTGATCGCTTTGGAGAGCGAGTGAGACTATTTATCAATGCATGTTTATCTCTGCCTGGAAAGCTCTTCAAGAATAAATTGAGCTCAGAATTCTTCTTAACATTTTGCCTACTCAGGTCTTGAAAACTAAACTCTCCCTCTGGTTTTTGATCTGCATCTCTGACAGCATTGACAGTAATAACCCATCTTCTAACTGACTTCCAGACCAACACCACAAGTATGGGTGAAGTTACAAAATAATGAACCTGGATGTTAAACAGAGACCACCTGTCTTTCTTTGCAACAAAGTTATGAGCTATGGTGAGCTGGCACATCTGCATCTAGGTGCCACCTAGATGCACACTGTTGGCTGTAAATTTAGGAAAACAGAGCAGGTGTTGAAAAGCAGCAAGATAATCATTTTGCCTTCTTTCATTTCACCAATCAAACTTAGGGTCTCATCACACCCTAAACAGATTTCAGAGGCAATGATTCTTTTCTCTCTCTAGTGTTATCAAACACATCGAAATGAATTATTACTCAACTGCTAAGTCCACTGGCTTCAAGAGAAAGTCTTAAGACTGTGAGTTTACAAAGTCTTATTCTGTGACTAAACTTTACCTATAAAGAGTCCCACTGAAATCATTAGGCAAGTAAGGTTAGGTCTTGGAATCAAATAGCTGTAAGGCTTAGAAATTTTGCATGTGTGATTCTGTTGGATCTTTGTCTCACAAACATACCGCTGATTTTTTATTTTTTTTAATCCTGCCAGATAACCAGCTTACAAATGAAAAGCATACGGATGAAAAGCCTATGAAAGGCATTGCTATGAGTTCTGTCTCAGAATTCAGCATTACAGATGCTTCATCAAAGGATATCGAAAAAGAGAAGAAATTGTCAGGCTCTAGCACATCATCCATTTCTTCCCTGGGGAAATGCAGAAAATTCACCTACATTGAAGATGATGCATCAGTACATCAGAGAGACAGTGATGGTATGTTTTATAAAACAGACTGCATTTAAGCTGATTTCTAACTAATGACCATTTCAAGAGCACTATGTGCACCAAGCTTATAATAAATACTTACACACCAAACAGCAAGTCCAAGAACATAGCCAAAAGCATTACTAGGTTGCCCTGTAGATGTTTGTGGCAGATGAGAATCTGAAGATGATGATTTTAAACTGTCAGTGAAATTAAAATCATAGAAGAGCTTAGAGCCTTTGTAATTTTGCAGACATTTTTACTGAGATGATCTGTTGGTATCAGAAAACATACACATAGCCCCTGCTATTGGAGAGAAGGGTATTTTTTTTTTTTTATTGTTACTATTACAGAAGCTGTTGTGGTTGCTGAACAGATGCTGTGTTTAGTGGTCTGGACATTGGTTATATGAAGCAGTAGACCATTGCATGCTACATTGCCATCCTGCTGACCCACCACCAAATCTTCCCTGTGGAGCCCTTRCTGCTAAACTCATGTGGGTCATGATGAGGAGGTTTCTTTATATTCTGCTTCTGCAGCAAATTGCATATTCAGTAAGGTACTTAAACACTTGCTTATTGTTAAGCATAAAAGGTGGACTGTGTCCTTAAACTTGGATATATGTTGCTGCTCCCAAAGCAAATGCGGTCTTGCAACTTTTATAAGTGCTAGAACTTCCCTCAGCCTAAGGGGCACAGGGTAGAGATGGGACTTTTAGTTAGTTCAATATACTGCAAGTTTTGGAAATGCATATTTGAAAACAAAGCATTATGAAGGGCAGTTAAAAAAACAAAAAAAATGCAGCAGAAGCCTAATAGTGCAAGTACATTTTTGCAAATGAACAGTATCAGATACCAGTACAAAACTTGCTCTGCAACTATGAATCASAGACATCTTACCTTTTCAGTGAGAAAGTTACTCCCCTCTATTTCATAAAAGTTTGTAAGTTAGTGCCAAGCACCTACATTACTTCTTGTAAGAGTTTCACAACCAGTAGTATAACSAATAGTTAAGGAAGAGACCTGATTGTGCACTCTTGTTGCTAACCACGCACCATGACTCTTGATAAATAGAGGGTATTATACTATTTACATTAAATGGAACTATGCTGATGACCAGCATGTCAGGAGCTATTCCTGGGCATTCTCCTACACGTGGAAAAAAGGGTGCTTTTATTCTGTGAAGATTTCTTTGAGTTTCTTTTGTGTGCCTTCTACAATAAAGGATTAGATTATATTATATTCAATGCAGTGTAGGGCATATCATATTAATCATGTTGGCAATCCCTGAATCAAAAACTTCTAAATGCAGATAACATAATAAACCATAGCACTCCCATAGCACTCCAAAGGAGCCATTATGATCTCTACTGTATCACTGATCCTGTAATAAAAGGAATGTCTCTGATACCTCCACTAGAATGCATTTAATTTCAATCAGGGAAAGGAAGTACCTATTGCATTAAAGAGATTCGTCCTCTTGTCCAGACCTACACTATTTTCTGAATTTACTGACTATTGGATTGGGCCCCTCAACCATTACTGGCACACAGGTGTTTACCATGTGATGCAAATAACAGATTTCATACTCCTTAAAAAGCTAAAAGTGAAGGAAATTAACAAAAAAACAATCTGTGCTCAATTAATAATGTTAAGCACTGGACATCAGCCAAAGAAACTAAAGGAAGCCAGATTTGTAGTTGTCACTGCATACTCTGCTCACTCCACTCCGACAAGTCACTGCTTATTTCACACACACAAGGACAAATTCTGCTTACTGGTGCATGGACAACTTTTGAGAACAACACTAGCAGAGGAAATTGCAGCTTATTTTGGATTCAGGATTCAAAGAGCAGCAGATCCAAGCTCAAAAGTCTCACCAAAGTTGACCCTGACCAGGCTCATGAAGAGACATATATGCTAGAAGGGAGGGTGAGCTGACAGCCACCAGCAAAGAGCAGGAAAATTTAGAGTCCAGACAGGCTGGCAAAATTGTTAGAAGTTCTTCTTTTGTGGTAATTAATCTACTAATGTAGAGAATGAGAGCTGAGGTCATTGTTCTCACTGAGATAAATGCAATAATGACTTTTCACAAACAGCAGGGAAAACAGAAAAGAAAACAGGAGATTGCATCTTCCTTTATGCAGTTTGTGGCTAATTTATTTTCAAATATATAAATGAATGCATAGGAATGGATGTTTAATTGCTAATATCTATTATTTATATACATTACCCCACTTAAAACAGGACAAAAAAGCCTCACACATGCAGATTTTGCAAAATGCGTTACATCCATTATCACAGTTCATGGTGTGTGCTCTGATGGGAATTTAAAAGCATCTTTACTGCACATCACAGACTCTGTGCTGAAACATTACTTTATTATTAAAATCTTGTGCTTTTTCTGTGCCCCCTTTTCTGGATGAAACCATAAGAATCATATCTATTCTCTTAAGATTACATAAGCACCATTATGGTTAACATGTTCGGGGGAAAAAGTTATTAGAAAACAGACCTTTAAAGCAAAAAAAAATCCTTAATTGATATATAATTTGATCTCCCATATCCAGGTGTAGAAAGGAAATTTCATAAATATAATATACCTAAAAAGAATAGTCTTAATTACACCATGGACTGCTGGATAAAATGATTACATTTTCTACACTGTAAATTTCATAAAATTAAATGCAGCAGTGTCACCTTATAAAATGTTTCAATTTTATAATTATTTCAGTTCATTTACTTAGAAAAAAATATAAGCATGAATTTACTAACTATCACCAAAATCTAGTCATTCTTATTCTACATAAATGACTTATAAGTTAGTTGTGCTTGTCTGAACTTAAATAGATCTTGACATATTTAAATAAGAATTTAAATTGATAACATTGATGATGATATGCTACTCAGAAAGAAATTCAATCACGTGCTACTTATTCTTCCTACCTGCTGTAACTGACTTTTTTTAAACAAAGAAGCAGAAATGATTTTTTAATTTTGTTTTTCATTAAGAAAGCTTTCTTAAAAAGAAAAAAAAGGCATAATTCTGAAAACTTCCTGGCAGTGAACTTTATGTTATGTGAGATATAAAATGCCACAACAGAACCAAAGTAGTTGAATGAGTTATTTCACAGTTAGTCATCCTAGGGCAAGAAATGTGGTTAGAACCATATGCTTTCCTGAAAGAACCAATGAAAAGATATTCATATTGTTGAAGGCATTTTTCCTTTCCAAAAACAAGGAGGGAAAAAAAAGAAAAAAGGTTTGGGTCTTTGCACTCCAAATGGATTCACACAGGCAGAATCTCACACCTACTCTAAGCACTGCTGCATTCAAGTGCATCCTCCCCAAATGCTGAAATCTGAAGCCTGGGTAATCAATTGACTTTGGAAGGAGACAAATACAATTCAAATTCAAATACAATTCCTTTAGGATTGCACATTACAGTACAGGAAAGCTACTGGCATAAATCTCTCCTAAGGTCAACAAGCAAATAAAGAGGAGAGGACAGGAAAGTTCTAGCAAGCAGAAGGGTGGGATTATGTTTTTAAAAGATATAAAAATCACTCTCCAGCAACATCCTGCCAGTTTTTGTCATTCATTAGGTATTATTATTATTATTAGCCTTATAGACACACATCTACACCTAAAACAAAGGTTCAGTTCCATGAAATCCACTTTACAGATGAAACTTCTGAACCAAAGATATTGGCAGTAAACCTGATCAGCTTTAATATCCATGTAAAGTGCAGAGCATGCACGTGCACTCACACGTGCATGTAARTGTTTAAGTCTGCAAGCATAATTCCTTGCAGCACTGTACATTTGTACCTCATGATTACCTATGTGATTTGATCCCTCAGAAAACAGCTGGGTAACTCCTGGTTTTTGCAATTTGACTACGACAGCCTCTTTAAGGCAAGAGTGATGCATCTCTCYTCTGCTCTGAAGTTGTGGCTCTTTTGCAATCAAAACCAATTTTCAGTTCAGTCCCATTTTTGCTTGTTCTGTTAGCATGTGAAACCTAGAAGAACTGAGTACAGTATAACTGATTTTTGGATGCTGCATGCTAAAAACATCACATGGACTCATACGTCCTCTAATCTCAGAGTATAAATTCAAYGTAAACAAATTTTTGTCCATCAGTCCTTAAAGCCTGCAGTGACACAGAATCCATACTTCTTTGATACAACCTGTTCCAAAGTATGAGCATCCTTTCATAGTGGTGCAATGCCAAACCACCAGACAGTCCTAGAGCTGGGGTGGGGACTTACAAGAGACAGTGTCACTACTTAGAATTTAAGAAACGCCTCAGAGGATGGAGGTGGTGGAAGAGTAGCCAGATAAGAAACCAAATCAATGGAAAGCCACAAAGAAAAAAACAACAAAAAATTGCTCTGCTGAACCAAACTGCTTCCGTCTTTCTAAAGTGCTAAACATGGTTGAGATGGATCAAAATGATCTAGAAAGTGAAAGAAAGAAGTAAATATCAGACCACAAAAATAAAAATCCAAATGATGCAAAGCATTACATCATTCTAGATTAGTCACATTACAGTGCTTAGAGGTCAAGAATATCTGCTCAAAAATACTGAGTGGTTCCTGTGGGAATGTTGAGACAGGTGGACACAGAGATGGAAGCTGTTGTTTGTACCCTACTCAGGACTGGGAAWAAAGAGAATCTCTTAAACATATATACACATTTTTTAAGACATATTTCCTAGTTGATACTAATTTTCACGTGTTTTTCCCTTTTGCAAATTAACAAATCGGACTAAAAAAGCCAAGAAACCCATTTCAGCAAGGAAGTAGTAGGACTCTGGATTGAATATTGATCACCACACTGCTCTGTGTAAGTGCTGTTCACCACTGCTTTTATTTCCTCTTTAGTTAAGCAATCGAGCAGTCATTAAACATTTTTACTGTTAGACTACTTATAAAAATCAAACCATAAGCAGATGACAAATCTGTGCTCTTTTTCCCCCCCATATGCATGAATCTACTCTTGCTTTTAAAGTCATCTTAGTCTTTATGCAGATGTCACATCTAATTTATGAACGAATTATAAAAGATTCTATGCATCCAGAATGACCACATATAAAGCCAAGAACCAGATTTATCATATCCAAGAGTCTGATCCACTCTCCACAATATCACTGAGTCTTTGCACATAAACTTCCTGCAAGGATCAAATCAAGGCATAAATGACTGACAGAGAAGAATTGTTCAAAAAATGACTGATAATAATGATAATCAATTCCCATGTAGTGTCTGTGGGGCAGGTAGAACATGTGACATCACATAATTCAAATCCACAAAACCTCCACCGGAATATCTTTGCTGAGTGAAATCCTCTTCTGCATTGAAGCTTGCAGCCCAAGCAGTTTGAATGCACTTATTCCTCTAATCTTCACTTTCAGAGTACTTTTATTCRAACTCTATTCATGGCAGTTGTTTTTCTAGGAGAAACATAGGAAATATTTCATTCAGGTTTTTTTATATTACTTCTGRGCACTATTTCTAGCCTTCCTTGTGTGTTACAGGGATCTTTTTGCATTTTGCATCTCACTTCCATGTGGTCACACTAACYTAAACCTGGATAGACAAGCACACCTTTTTTCTTACATCTTCCTGCTTTTCCTTTTTCTTAGATGAATGTGCAACACTTATCCTGGCCTGCTTGTTCTGCCAATTTTGGGACTTTCTTATAATGCTGCCTGATACCTGTGAACATTGGCTGATAGATACCTGTTGTCCATCCAATAGATACTACCAGACCTCCGATGAGGACCAACCCAACAATGACTGCAACTGTGACTGTGACATTGACTGCAGCCTTTTTGAGTCCTGTCATGAGACTAGTGAGTGCCTGGAACTTGCTTTGGAGATTTCCGAAATCTGCTATCGCTAATAGAAAATACTTGACAGAATTCCCCAAAACTACCTAAATGGAAGCTAAGATGGTACAAAAGAGAAATGGCTTTTTTTTTTTAAGATCAAAAAATAATATCATGTTTGCCAATCAAGACTATCTTCATCATGCTGTTCCTGCCTTGGAGTCTGTATATCTGTACCATTCCAATTGTGGAATTTCACAAACTGCTGGAACCAATACAAAGCAAACAAGGATCTCCTCCTTTRCCATAGACAATAAGAGAATTCTAACTATCAAGTGTGCTTGATGCATACCCACTGTCAATCTGATGCTTTTATAAATCCCTAATTGCTTTAAACATGGATTTCCCTCATTCACAAACACAGGATAAATTAGGACCATGTTTTAGGACTGATATATATTAGTTYRTCTTCCTAATGGATTCATACATAAACATGTATTACACATTGTTGGTTATTATTAATAATGTATGATATAACATCATTTTATAATTAAAAATTTATTTATTCAATCTCTKAAAACACACTTATATGCTCAGTTTAGGTAGAAAAGAAAATTAAATGAATTAGAAACCATGCTAGTKGTAATTACAGCAAATGTCTCTAAAAAATCTCCAGTGAATTTTGTAGAGGAAGCATTTTAACAGGGTAGTGCAATTCAACAGTGTATTAATGTGCGTGCCTATGGTTATGTAATAACAGGTTATGCCTATTGTTCATTAGTTATAGGAAAGGGCTCCTTAAGTGTAATTAGCCTAAATGGAAATTGACTGCACACTTCCAGAGGAGAATTACCCCATGGACAGCCAGCAACTCCTTCACCTGATTATCATTTGCAAGACTTCTACAAGCAGCAGAATATTGCCATCTATTCTGGTGGAAACAGGCATCTCCACTTGCGCACAAAAGACTACAAAATGACAGTATTTATTCTGGTCGTGCTTTCAAACAATCTCTATCTCTTTTATGATGGCAAGTCTGATTAATAAAAAGGAAATACATATTGCACATTACACACGACAACGAAAGCATGTAAATTGAGCTGCCTTAAGGTGTAGAATGCACCTATTAAGCACAGAGGAAAATACAGAATTGTTTGCTCGTGTTAGAAAYGTATAGACTGTTCCCAAAGACAGTATAGACTTTGCGTAGGCACTAAGCTTTTCCACCCACTGTTCTCGGAGCAGAAGGGCCTGGGGAATCCCAGGCAAGAAGCCTGGACAAGGTGCCAGGATACCCAGCTTTGTGGAAAKCATTGAAGCCACCTGTTTAATAATTAGAATTTCAAGTCTGCAGTCCTGACAAATATTTAGTGAGTGAAAATTTTTTTAAAAAAGTGAATTTCCCTTTACCCCTTGCTTTGAAAATTCATGTTTTAAAAAAAAAGTAGAGGGAAATGTTAATAGTCTTTTACAGATAACTTACAAGCTCAATGACCTCTTAGCAAATGAAACATTTCAGCTCTAATAAATAAAATACTCTAAAGAATAAAGGAGATGTCCTTGAGAAAAAAAGAAGTTAAAAACAGAGAGGGCAGCTCAGCAGTACCTGCTTTCCACACCTCTCCCAGGGCATTGGTGGGGATTAGAATAGGTTTGTTGCACTGTATTAATTGCAACATCAGCATTTTAGCTATTAGTTCTCCACCTTCCAGTCTGTGTCAACTTGCTGGGCATGTCTGGACCCAAATGTAGAGAGCACTAACCACAGTCCACGCAGTCATCTGGAAGGCATGGGTTTTGYACACCCTGGGCTGGGCAACACAGTTTCAATGCTCAGATTTCCATGCTCCTGCAAACAGCTAGACCTAAATTTGGTCCTAGGGCATGGGCAAACCTAAGCCTAAGTGCTGCATGTTAAGAGTTGGCCATGGAGCCTGGATCATTCCACTTTCCATCATAGGTTGTCCTTGCAAAGTGACAACCAAGTACATATCAACACAGACCAAGACTGTTTAAGAAGGGGAAGGAGTGTTCTCCACACAATTTGAGAGAATTAGAGATACACCTTGCCCATCCTTRCTTCTGATGCTATCATCCCAAAGGAAGGATTTCATGAATGTAATGGYTGAAAGGAGTCTCAGAGAGACTCTACCCAGAAGGTAGAGACCACGTAGGGCTGCAAATGAGGTGTGCAAAAAAGAAGATTTTGCTCTGCAAGCCAGGCCATGTCTTGCCACAGCTCTGACTTGGCCATGATCATACCCGGACAGTAGCAAGACATGATTGAATTGCTAGGACATCCTGTGCTGAAAAATAGAGCTGATGTTGTAGTGAATAATATGTTAAATAACACCTCAAAATCTCCTTGTCTAATGCACACAGTGACACATACCTCAGCTTCCTCTTTTAGGAAATAGATTTTTGGAAGACTTCTGTCCAAGCAATGAAACCATACAAATATGTTGATATTCTGTCATCTTTCATGACTTTCATATTACATAGTAGAACTAACAGCTGAGGATATCTTCCCCCACCCTCAGTGAAACTAATTGTAAGGTAACACTTTCATGACATACAGGAACTTTTTAAGATAGTAACACCAAACACCAGAGAAAGATGCCCTTTTTGTTGTTGTTTTTCCCCTTCTCCCTTAAGCATGAAAAAAATCTACTCTATTCCCACAGTAAATTGAACTCATATGCCAGAGAATTGCCAGGGTATCAGATATGATATTTGGGTAGACATTCCATTTAAAGAGAATTATTAGGAAGAACTCAAGTCTCTCTCTCCATTTTTCTATTTACTGGAGAGAAAGGCCCAAGTGTGCGAGTAGGAGGTGTTTGGGTGGATTGCTGTTCTGAACATGTTGGACTCAGCTGTGCTCCTAGAGATGTCAGCTCTGCAACGTGCAAAACCAGCTCCCCAGAACAACAAATAGACGTTACCATTTTGCAAACTGGAACATCGTTCCGACACGACGCCTCTCCTCAGCACCATAAATGCACTGACAGATTGGCTGGGGGAAGAAAAAGATGGAGATAATAATGAAGAGCCATATCGCCCCCTTCTCCGGAAGAGACTACGGGATACTCTGGAAGGATCTCCACTGCAGAATGACTCAGTAGACTTATTCTTAGGAAGTAAATGTCTTTCCGTCTCCTTCCAGAATGTTCACAGGTCACAGTACAGGTTAAGATGTAAACTCTTTGGAACAGGAATCGTCATTTACCAAGTATTGCACAGCACCCAGCACACAGGACCTAACGGGAAACTCCTCAAGTTTCAGYTGACTGTTAATGTTTAAAAAAGTCATCTTCAAGGAAATCAAGTTCTCTATCTGACCGCAACCTCCTCCACTGAGTCATTCTGTTGTCTTACTCTCCACACATATTGAGTCCYTTTGGATAGGGGACTAAAAGTGCTCTAAATTAGCCCATGCAGTTCTCTGAACACAGAGAGTATATTATCTCCTTTGACATTCCTCTGCTTCCTAGAGCATTTTTATGGTGCAGATGCTATGAAGCAACCATAACCAGAAAGACCAACATCTCCCAGGTTTCAATACTAAACATAACTCTGCCTTAACTCTACGGATTCTGGCTGAAAGCTACAGTACAGCTCTTGAAGACATTGTTTCTCAGGAAGAAAGCAAAATATGGGAGCAATTAAGATGTTTGCAACCAAATTCTTCTATTGTTATGCACATAGAGTTACTATAAACTTGCAATAGTGTTGGACTAAAAATGTATCTATTAAATTCTTTTTAATTACATGAGATGGCTAGTTCATGTCTGTTTTCTACATGGATTTAGCTTTAATTTATAACAAACTGAATTTTAAGTGTCTTCTTAAATGCAAGGTAAGTTTCCTATTATATAAGTAAATAAGGTTACCATATAGACTGGGATCTCCAGGCACCACTGTACTATAAATCATAGTAACTGAGTATTAATCATGATTAATAATCTATCATTATTGTAGTTTAAAAGAAAAGAAAGGGGGAATGAAGAATTGAGCAACTGCACTTTYTCTTAGCATATTTCATATAATTGCACAAACATAACAATTACCAGCAGAATAATGAATTCCATATAATGACCTAGATTTTCTTAACATTGCACACGAGTAAGAATTGTTGCCATCTGATGTGCGCTCCCTGGCCTGCACAAAATGAGTTGGTGGGTGCAAGCCAAAATATAATGGATGTGTGCCCATATCACAAAAAAACACCGTTATAATTGGTACCCTTAGGAAGAATGCCAAGGTCTGAGTGTAAACAGAGCACTTTTTATCCCAAGAGTTAGCTTTTTCCATGGTCAGAACTGAGGCACAAAGAAAGAGCAATACCAAATTGCATCTGCTTCCTCTGTAATGGGCTTCTCTCTCCTGAGGTATCAGTCGGTATTTCTGATAGCAGATCTAAAAGAATCACTCTCAAGGGCACTCACCATGCCTTTTATTTAGTTATTTATTTATTTTTTGCCTTTTAAAGTCATGATGGAGGTTGCATAAATATATAAATAAGAACACGACAGGAGTTGTTGTCAGTATGTAGTCTGCCTTCCTTCTAGGTGTCTCCAGAAGGGAGACAAGGAAAACTGACCTGTTGTCAGTACATATCATAGAATGGGTGAAGTTGGAAGGGACCTCTAAAGATTATCTGGCCCAACCCTCCTGCTCCAGCAGGGACACGTAGAGCACATGGCACAGGGTGGCATCCAGGCAAATTTTGAAGACCTCCAGAAAAGGAGGCTCCACAACCTCTCCGGGAAGCCTGTTCTGGGGCCCTRCCAAGAAATTCTTCCTCACATGCAGATGGAGCTTCCTGTGTTTCCACCTGCACCCATTACCCCTTGTCCTATTACCAGCTACCTCCAAGAAGAGTTTGACCTCATCCTCCCCATATTGTCCCCTCACGTACTTACACATATTGATCAGATCCCCTCTCAACCTTCTCTTCTCCAGACTAAACAGGGCAAGCTTGCTCAGTCTTTCCTCATGAGAGATGCTCCAGTCCATCATCTTTTTCACTCTGCACTGGTCCCTCTCTAGAAGCTCCATGTCCCTTTTGTACTGGGGAGCCCAGAGCTGCACCCAATACTCCAGGTGCGGCCTCACTAGAGCTGAGCAGAGGGGACAGGATCTCCTCGTTCGACCTGCTGGCAACACTCCTGATGGAGCCAGGAGCCCATTGGCCTTCTTGGCCACGAGGGCACTGCTGACTCACGGTTAACTTGTCAACCAGGACTCCCAAACCCCTCTCTGCAGAGCTGCTCCCCAGCAGGTCAACCCCTAATCTGTCCTGGTGCCTGGTGTTATTCCTCTCCAAGTGCAGGACCCTGCACTTGTCCCTGTTGAACCACATGAGGTTCCTCTCTGCCAACTCTCCAACCTGTCCCAGTTCCTCTCAATGGCAGCACAGCCCTCTGAAGTGCCAACCACTGCACTGAGTTTGGTATCATATTATATATATACACACACACAATATACATAAATATAAAGTATCTATTCATGAATA